AAAGAGCGAGAGAACAGCGTGTTGACAATATAATGTCAATTAACTGGGACTTAACGACAAATACATAAAATTTGAAAATAACAATATCGGTTCGTAAATTTATTTAATTATATAAGTATCAAGTTGATTAGATCGCAGTCCGCCCGCCCAGTAGTAGGGCGGCGGCGGCGCGCCCACCGCGTCCGCGCCGGCTACGGATAAATACAAACCGCAACAGAATTATAATTATTTTATCCTCTCGCTTATTTCAGTTACCAATATTGAATACCAACGAATGGAATAAAAATAAAATCGAGTGGAAATTGAAATATGTGCGATTGTATTGATTCGCTGTACCTTATTATGAATTTTAATGAGGCTGATAAATATGTACTTTTTGTTTACGTTTCAATAATGTTCTGTCCAAGTAAGATATTTTAACTCCTACTTTTTATCATATAACACTTGCATAGTCTAGTCTAGTCTTGGAGAAAGGAATATGCATTTGCATATTTCAAAACTATTTCATTCGTATCAGAACTATTTGTAACTTACGAATGTACGGAATCCACGCTAGGCGAGTCTGAGTGGTATTTGTCGGGTTAAAATTTTTTTATTCACAATATATGCCGTTGTTTATTACAATTCTTTACCTCCCAAAGTACGTAACGTATTTCAGTGCTACCAATGGTCCATTTACACGAGGCCATTACTACAATCTACTAAGCCAGTCCAGTAAAAATAGAAGCTCTTCTGTTGCTGTTATAAGACTGGATTAACTACTGGCGTGAGGATTATCTCAATTTAAATGAGACAAATTACTGGACTGGCTTGACCTCGTGTAAGTAAATGGTGCTTAATACTGTTGGATAGAAAACTCCTAGATAGATATGAAGTAATACCTATAATTAACCAACTTTATTACCTTTATATAGATACCTATATGGTTATTATTATTATTCCATGTTCCGTGTAGATATCAAGTCATTGCGACCTAAAATATCCATTAACACTCCCTACCACAGTTATAGTAGCTTTTTCGACTTGGTATTAATACCTGCACCCTTTAAAAAATCTATGAAGTTCCTGATATTTAAACTTTTATATCGTCAGTTCTGCTATTCTATAGAAATACAGGGCCGCACGCAGGGCTGTCGCAACATTAGAAGTTTTTTTAATTAAACCTTTGATACCTTTTGAAGTAGGTCATATTTTAAATACCCATAATCTCTACTTAATAAGCTTCTGCTGTTGAACTGAGTTGATAACCCGTTTTTCAGCATACAGCACCTCCAGCCTCAGGCTCTTATAAATTTAACGCTATATACAAATCTAACGCCAATAACAAATAGCACTGCTGGGCTGGTTATGTCATAGCTAGATGTACGCTTCGTTTGTGGACAGTGGTCCACAATCACACAGGACGTGTAATTGTTATTCAGTGTTGTTAATTTTTTTAATTGAGCGCATGTCTGTAATTGAAACATGTTTAAGTTCAAGAAAACTATACATAAAGATTTTCAGCAATTCAGCTTTATTAATAATAATAAAATTATATGTTTGTCTTTTGTGTACACAACGCTGTTACCTGATTAGCGCTATAAGCCAAAATTTTCCAGTTCCAATTATAAACTCTACCCTCAAAACATTAATGTTGAAAATCAATTGGAGAAATTTAATAGATTTATATAACCTGTCGTGATGTGATTGTACAATGTATAGAAAATCGACCCACATTGCTTAATTGTTACCTTTGACTTAAGAATTAAGACCTAACAAGTACCTTGAAATTGAAGGTATATACTACCTTCAAAAGCCATACCATACCTTCAAAAGTTCAATATTAACTTTTTTACCAGATATTTCAGATCCTGGAATAATGTGAATTTAAATAAGATAAATGATTTCTGACTCTTTAGCCCTGCGGCTAAAAATATAGGTGTGGACTAACCTGTCTGTACAAGTTAGTCCACACCGATATTTTGTCACAGCCTATCCCACAAAACTACTATAAAGATAAAATTACATTACAGGAATAGTGTTGGCTCATGAAACACGGATTCTAACTCTTCAACTGATAAGGAACTACAGAGTGGAAAGATATCAGAGCGGGGGTCGAGTAGAGGGATAGGAAATCGAAAGTGCGTCGGTGGCAGTTCTCGCGTACCTACCGCCGACCGCCCCGTTCGCGTTCTTGTTATGATTCATGACATTTTCACGGCATTTAATTTTACGTAGGGTTGTAGGTACGTTCGAAATTCAATTTTGAAAACTTTTGTACGCTTATAAATCGTTAAGTTAGATTAGGTTTTGGTTAAACTGTATTAGAGATACGTCGATAAGTTGTATTAGAGTTGGTAATCTCTCTGGAGTTTCATTTATTACGTAATAAAATATTTCATAGATTAAGGAAAATTCGAATGTTATATTATGAGAACGAAGGAATTTTAATTATATCTACCTCTTGATTTAGTATTGTAAATATATTTTCTGGTTAATAACTTAGTGAACTGAATTACTTATTATAGTCTGAATTCTACCTGCCTACTTAAGTATGGAGACCGTAAATTGAGACAACCGGCAAGAAACTCAGTTTTTTTTATTGAATGACCAAAATCAGCCATTTTATTTTTTACAGAATGTTCACATGAACAAGTATAGATAAGCTTAATGAATAGCATTCACAAAGATATATCAATATTGATTTTCTAATTAAACGAATAAAAAGGAATAAATATTTATCCTAAAAAAATACTACTAAGGTTAAATAATATTTGTATAGGTAAATATCCGGGTCACGTAAAAATCGATAAGAATAGGGTGAAATGCAATGAAAGCATTAAATAAATATCTACTTCAGATGAGGGTGCATTAACGCAGTGCCCAAAATCGGAGCTCAAGCGACATTCAGGAATTTTTCAAAGATTATAGTCGCTGTCATCCTTATTTGAAGAGTTACATTTCATTATGACGTCAATTCCGTTTATTATTCTCCCTAGCTTCCCGCCACGTGGTCCTTTATTATACCTGCATATACCTTCCTTTTGGATCATCCTGTATATGGATAAGGTAAATTAAATCTTAGACAATAATGAACTTCCATATAAACTTTTAATCTCTATTTCAACCTTTTTATCACCTATGAATAAAGATCAACCTACATATATGTCCTATCTCAAGTCAACTATATTTAGTAACTTAGGCGTGCGAGCTTAACGGCTTAATATTCCATACTATATACTTTCGCTATATAAAATTAATATGGAATATTTAAACGTTTCACTTACGTCATATTATAATAGGTTACCAGACAGTTATAAAAATAAATAGACTAACGGTCAGTTACACAAACGTCCATTAAGATTTAATAAAGCCTTTAAGCTCTAATGAAGGCATTTCTTTTTATTCAGTGATGTCAATTCACATTTGTGCAACAGGCTGTAAAAATAATATAAATCACTCAATTGATCAATCAACTTTTAATCTCACAGCTGCTTTTTTTCTATAGTTTGTATTTTCTTTCGTGAATAAAATTATTTGTACTTGAATATTTTCAAAAATATTTATTTAAAATATTATTTTTGTTATCAATTATGTACTCAAATATAAATTTATATAATATGATAAGAAAATCTTTATAAAAATTTCTAGATAGATTTATTACAATGACAAATCAAATTGAAAACAATGATTGCTATGGTAACATTATGATTCCCCATTAAAACTTTCCCTGCTATTTTCATCCTTTCAAGTGCTAGTTTTCTGGGCAAAATATAACCATTACCTTCCTAGAGTCTAGTCTTAATTTAACTACCAAATTTCAACGATATAATAAGTCCAAAAACAAAGAAGTTTCAAACAAACTTTTATACCCTTTTTCGGAAATTCCCCGAAGGGGGACTCTACGTAATAAGACGTACCCTCTAAATTTCAAGCCTCTACGACCAGCGGTTTAGCCTGTGCGTTGTCTATCAGTCAGTATGTCAGGACAATTCCTTTTATATGTAATAATAATAATAATATACTTTATTGCACACACAAGATGAGTAACAAATTACACAGCTTGAGAAAAAACAAAAGTATACAACAAGGCGGCTTTATTGTTACATAGCAATATCTTCCAGGCAACAATGATGTAATATATGTTAAGACGACAGACCTAACAAAACGGGTTAGTTAAAGCATCTAGTAGTTTATTAGGTAAAACTTACAGTTTCGAACCCCTGAGAACTTTTTATATAAAATATATTGTTGTTTTATTAGGAGAGGAGCCCCTCGAAGGTCTAGAAGGTCTCCACTCTGACGAAACCGGCTCCGGAGACAACTCGAACGCTGGCTCAAGCGGCGCGGACGACGACGCCGCACGGCTGCGACTCAAGCGCAAACTGCAGCGGAACAGGACCAGCTTCACCAACGACCAGATAGATAGTCTCGAGAGAGGTATGATTTAACCCAACCCGAAGGCCCGCCCTGTAGGAGCTCGGCCGAAATGGTGCCGAAGTGCGCTGTAAGAGGCCTCGGCTGTTACCGTACTTCGCCAACCGCAAGAGAGACATCAGTGGGATTTAGTAGATATGCTCTCCACCATTGCTTCCTCGGGAAAGATTTCCAAGGGATATAACGCAAAGGGATACGCGGGGATGCAGTAATGCATTTCCCATCATAAAAAAACGTATGATAATTTAAGTGGCACCCATTTATCGACCTGAAGTTGTATAAGTCAAGCAATGATATTGGTGGGAGGCCTATACTTAGATGTGGACGTCGTATGGCTGTTGATAATGATCAATTTATTAAATAATACAATTTAGATCGGAGGGCGTCGATCATATTGAATTTTTTCTTACTAGTAATAGAATTAATACTTTTTATTCATATTTTTCTTTATATTCTCACATAGATGTTAATTTGAATTAGATTTTAATTAGTTTTATGAGGAGTCTCGTCTCATCATTTTAAGAGGGCGTAGTTAACCCATTTTTATTTATTTTTTAAACAGTATAACCATAACTTTTCAATTGATGGTTCCAGAATTTGAAAGAACCCACTACCCAGATGTATTCGCACGGGAACGACTCGCTGCCAAAATAGGACTCCCTGAGGCTAGAATACAGGTGAGCATCATCATATTATTATATCAACGTATTCTGCAATCATAATCCCTTTATGTTATAGAAGCTCTTATTTATATGATGATACCACGATGTAGGAAGGTACTTTTTAAAATACTTGTACTTACCTTCTTACGGATATAGTAAGAATAATAATATTTAAAAATATTTACACTATCTCATAACATTATATTTAGTAGGTAGAGAGAGCTCATTTATTACAAATAAAGTGCATAACCAATTTTTTTTGGAACCGAGTTAGTAGAATGTGACTTTCTTAATAACTACCTATTCTTTGAGTGTAATAAAAGTATATATTTTTTATTATAACGTCCCTGTATAAAACTAAAGAGGATAAAACGAAGTAGTGAATGTACCTAATACAAGACGACAATCACATAGTTCTACTAAGTTCTTCTAATTTCTTAAGTGCTTGTTAATCTTGACTTGAATGAATAAACGATATGCTTAAAAGAATTTTAACTTTGAAATTTAGATTAATAAGATTTTTAAATATTTGAGAAAAAAAAATATTTTAAATTTATTATAAAAATATAAATTCAGTTAAGAACGAGCGTTAGGCACCCCTCTTTGTTAACCTAACCCGACGTTAAGGTGTGGTTCTCGAATCGTCGCGCGAAGTGGCGGCGCGAGGAGAAGATCCGCTCGCAGCGGCGCAGTCCCGAGTGCGCGTACGCACCGCCCGCTCTCACGCACGCGCCGCAACACGCTCCCGCTCACGCTCACGCACCCGCGCCCGCACCCGCGACCGCTCATCCGCCCTACCAGCCGCCGCTCAACGTTGACACATACAGGTACAGTCTCACAGTCGGCCAACGGCCACGTCTCGACAGTAATCGTAGCAATCCCCAGCTACCCCACATTCGCTTGAGACACATTTTACCAAACGTTTTTTTATTATTGTTAGAATGATAGTCTACACTACATGTGACGTAAGAGAATTATATTTATTTTTACATACAACACTGCGGCGATGACAAAAGCAGTAGTCAGGGCATCGCATCCAAAGACATCGCCGAAAATGGCCCCAATACCAGCAAATATTATTACTTCAATATTAAATATTATTTTATTTATTAAATTGGTATTACATATTTATTTGATACGACCAAGCTGCGATCCAAAATTAATATTTAAAAGTGCTTTAACAGTAACATATTTATTCACAAACATTCACGTTCAATATACTCAAATTCTATTAAGTGAGGTTAATGTTATTTACACGTCAGATCAAGAAGATTATTTATTTTTATTACGTCATCATCGAACACAAAAACCTTAAATTAAATTGATGAATTAAATTGAAGATAAACTTAAGTATATACGTCAAATCATTTCCTAAAAGCGCCAACTCTTGGTGGTTTTCCAAACTAAACATACGGACATTAAAACTAGGTATTATAAGAACTAAATATTATAATTATTTAACTGGTCATAATGAGAAATCACTCTTATTTATTCAGAAAGCTGATAGTTACACGACTCATCCAAAAAACTACTTTGTTTCTATTACATTACCTTTATACTCCTCGTAAACATATTAATATCATGTCATTTACGTACTAAGGCGCCATCTTTTGATGGTTTACAAAACTACACGTTTTTTTATTTTAATCTTATCTATAAGTATCATTATTCAACTATTAGAATGATTTACATGACTTATAAACTTTTACACGTCACAACGAAACCCCGACTTTCCTATAGTTGAGTTTTTATAATATTTTTTTTTAAGAAGGTTTTTATATTATTTTTTATATTAGGGGGCGTCCATAAATTACGTGAGGTGTTTTTTCACATTTTCTGACCCTCCCTCCCCCCCCTGATGAGATGTCGTGAGATTTTATTCAATCCCCTCCCCCATCCCCAAATCTCACGTGAGATTTTTCAAAAAGTGGGTTTCTTATTTAAACACGTTGGATTTTTTAATAAAAAGAAGAAAAAAAATAATTCGCTTCGTACTTTTATTTACGACTAGTTAGAGACTAGTAATCCATATTGCTCTTATTCATCGAGTCACACGTTCAGCTGACAGTGGCGCGAAAACAAAGGACGGGCTACATTGTACCGTAAATTCAAATTAAATTGAACTATTATTTATTTATGTATTTATTTATTTATTTATGGTACACAAAACAGATTACAATTGATAAACTAATCACAACAACAATCAAACTAATATTATCGCCTGAATTGCAATCAACGAACTTGTGTACACTACATGCATTAAACTGAGTCTCACCATTTATATAAAACATTCAAATAACATATATTAAGTGACTTAAAGTTAAGAAGCTAACGTTAAATTAATATTAGATAACAATTATACCGCAATCAGATTACATTAAATTAAATTTAGAGTTAAATTGAATTAAAATTAGATAGGATTATAATTAATAAAAAATAAAAATAATAATAACTTTATTACATTGAAATTAGCTCATCTTAAAGTTAAAAGGAGATGTTGAATTTATTTTAAAGTTACTGATTATGCATAACTCAAGTACAGTAAATTACTGCACCAACTCAAACGAAAAGAAAAATCACTGATCAAATAACACCCGTCTTAAAGAATTCCGGAACCGACCAAAAGATAGGTGAAATATGTCGACGTCCCCGTCAAGTGCAACAATTTCATTATATAGGCGACACATGCGGACCATTGGGTTATAGTATGAAATATTATTAGTGCAAACATTTAAAGCAAAAATTGCCTGACTGGCATCACGAGCCCTGAACCTCGTTCTGAAATTCAGAAGTGCAAGAAGAGCTGAGGAATCTATTTCACCATGTATCAACTTATGTAAGTAAGAAACCTCAATATATTTGCGTCGTAATTCAAGACTAGGGAGATTAAATTATTGAGATTAAATATTTGGTATAAAACGAGTATAGTGGTTTGACAATCAGGAGTGATGTATAATGTCAAAGTACGAATGAAATTATTTTCTTTCCAACGAATTAGTGAATGATCTTAACCTTAGACTTGTCACTCTATGAGGGATTCCCCGCACCGAGCCTTATTTTAAAAATTGCGTGATATTTGCCGAGACCCCCCCTCTCTCCAACATGAGATTAGATGAGATTTGACTCGACTCCCTCCCCCCCTTAAACATCTCACGTAATTTATGGATGCCCCCTTAAGGTTATATTTTTTCAAAAAGAATATAACCTCAAAAAGTTATATATTTTGCTTAATAATGTGATTTCACATAGTGTCCGTGGCATTATAAATGCATAATGATTATTTACTGTTTTTTTTTATTTCTATTGCGCTTTGGGGCTGTCGATGTATGGACGCTGTGCATTGTCCACTTATAGTACCTATAATATATCTTTCAGCCCCCTGACTCCGATGGGTTACGGTGGTGGCATGGTGTCAGATACCCCCCCTGTGTGTGAGAGCAGTGAGTCGGAGTTGTGCAAGGGAGGTTTCCTGGGCTACCCGCGGTACGAGCTCGGCTACCGTCAGCCCCATCCCTACGCAAACCATCACGGGTACCAGCACGAACCCAACTCACCGCCACCAGGTATTTTTTATCCACAATACTATAAATAATGGGAAGGTATGTTTGTAAATAGCAATGATGAATAGAATTGTGTTGCTAGTTGTAAGACGGAACCCAAGGTACTCTACTTCGTTCCGTCGAACGTCGTTTTGAAATAATAAATATTATAATACAAATAATATAATACAAAATGACATAAAAACACTACCTATTAACCATTTCGAACCTACCTCCAGTTTGCTTGGTTTTTTGGAGGTAAATATCAATGTAACATTAGTGAATGCAGATTTATTGACGGCCTTCGTGGCTTCAAGCACCGGCTTCAAGATTCATCTCTAAGGTTCCGGGTTCGATACCAGACCTCATATCTCATATCTGGGTGTTTCAGTACCTTCATTGTTATCTCTAATCTGAACAATGTATGTGACGCCATAGTTCTTTGATTTCTATAAGTAAGTATTATATCATATCGATATTGAGAAGTTCGATTTCGATTGAAAAGAAATTTTGACTGGCATGCGGAACTTAAGCAACTTTCGCAAGGGTCGGTCATAGGATCGTTAACGCCCGCTACCACAATACCCACCGGGCCCTCGTGGCAATTCCCTCATTAAGAGTCCATCCATAAGGAAGATCTATGGCCCAGCAGTGGACATGTTAATAGACTATACATAATGATCAGCATTGTTATGTTTGGCAGAATTAGGTGGTCTACTCGGTGCGGGCGTGTCCGTGCCGCTAGCTGTGCCCGGGCAGGACTCGCAGCAGTACTGGTCGCGGCTGCAGTGACCCTGGTGGAACTAGTTTCGTTACATACCCACATTCTACGAATCATCTAAACATACACATACCAAACTACCGGCTGCTAAAAGAAGTTGCTTCTTAAGATCCATTATCTGACTTTACTTAAAATATGTAACAGAAATCCTATGATATTATCTACCTACTGATATTAAACACAAGATTGATATGAGGTACGCGCGGCCGCACCACCGTAAGCAGACCTCTGTTAGCAGGGAAGTTCTAGACGAACCGCGGTAGGTACAAAGTCCACAATATATAGTCTGACGTACAGCCGTGTGTACTTCATTCATGTTTTTAACATTTGTATGTTTGTTATACTTCTTATTAACTAGTATTAAAAACAGAGAAGAGTGTAATCTACAATTGCCAGTCAAACTGATGAATTCGTGACGTTCACCCTTAAATTGTTTTGGTCTACTTTAGGCGTTAGTATGTTTACCTATGATCCCTAATCGCTCCTTACTTGATCCCAAAGCGATTTTCCATTTCCGAATTTATCAATATCCTCACAGAGGCAACTTGTGTTTTATAACTAAGTATTATGGTTTCCGAATTGATATAAAATTCATTAGTGAATGTATATTATTCTGTGCACACATAGTATAAAGAATCAACATATCTGTTAGTTGCCACAAAAAAAAATTAGAGCACAAATTAAGAGGCTCAAATTGTATTTATAATGTATTATTGTATGTAAAGAATTATTTCATTCAAAAACAATGTATTTAGTGTCATCTGTCTGTATAGCACATGTAATGCGCTTTAGAAAACTTGCAAAAGTCTAATGAAATATTTGATTTAATATATATTGAATATTTGTATCATATTTTAATTTTTATTGCTAACACAATTTATAGGAAGTAATAGATTATGTAAGTCTAGTGATAAGTGACTGGCTCTTTTTAATTGTTGTAACGTCAATGTTTTTTGTAATTGTTAATAGGAAAATCCCAAAAATTTGAAATCGCTTATTGAAACTTTTGGTGTCATTGCATATTTTGAACAAAATGTCCATATGATATTTATTAAATAATTCTTAAAAATGATCATATTAGAAATTTATGAAACAGGGCATTCTAGATTTAAGTGATATTGTAAATAGTTTTCAATCGTTTGATGTCCACAATTAAGTGATTCTTTTACTCCAGTTAATAGCTCCAATCGACATTATACGAGACAGAAGAGCGATTGGCAGATAATTATATATTTTGGTTCGACGCTACTGAAGCTCGTTACATAAATATGAAGGCAATCTGCGTAACAAAGATTAATTATGTAATAATAAACGTAACAACCCTCTCAAATTCGAAAACAATATCAAATATAATAATTAGAAACACCCTATTGCAAAATAATCATTTTTCCCTCCCTCCCTCTACCACCAGTCTGCCAATTTGACTTATTTGACCACTTAGATAATAAAAATAATTCATAAAAAATCAAATATTTGACCTATGTTTAGTCGAGCGTTTAACTGAGCAGCCTACCAAATAGCTATTTTTTTATTTGTCAATTTTGTACTAATTTACGGTATCTAATTTTTATTAAAATCTATTGGTCCACCCGGTTTTCAACGACTGCGTCAAGTATAATTGTTTATTATAATTACGTATGTATACTTGGTTAATCGGAAAAAATCCAAGTACAGCTTGGCGTACAAGCGACGACACATTAAATGCAGAGTTTAAAATTGTATAATTAACAAAGCTTTAGTTTGTACCGAGAAACATTGAATAACAGTTAATATTTACATAATGGAGATTAATATCATTATCTTATTTTAGATGCTTTATAAAACAATTCAACTACACTGGCTGCAGTTAGACTAGGCTCGCCAACCGTCCTGTTTTCCCAGGACACGCAAATCCTAATTTTTGATATTTGGGGTTGGCAAGCCTAAATATAGACGCCATTTATTTTCAAAGCTTATTGAATTATTGTAGTGTGGTCATCACAGCCTTCATTTATAAGGATTATCGACCAGTTGCACAAACGTCCATTGGGTTTAATGACCTTTAAGCTCTAATGAGTGTCTAATTTGTATGGGTAATTTCGCTTTAAACTAATGATATAATGGACGTTTGTGCAACTGGCTTACTATCTCAAACATGTTGTAGTATTACTTTCGAATTTATTATGCTTAATTATTGTTAGTTTTGAAATGTATAGTACAGGTATAAGTACATAAAATTGTGAATAATTGTGTGATGTCGATAAAACGTTTTAATAAACAATATTATTTAAATAAATTTTGGATCAAAATATGTTTCATTTTTTCATTTATTCACAGGTAATGTAATAAAACAAATATTTTCTTTTTCATCGAATTCATTTTAATAATTACAATTTGTTTTTACCGTTAGGCTGTTAATACGAGTAATAATTCTGGATAATAAATAGGTATTGTTAAGAAAAAAATATTACGTACCGATTAATGTACATAGCGTATTTTTATTGAGCTAACATTTTGTACTTGAAATTTCTTTGAGAAATGCTCAACCTTAATGAACAAATCATTTATTTGAGTTTTTTATTTGGTACATAATTATGTAAATCCTATGTTTTTACATGACAATAGTCAATTATAGTATTATATGTTATTATTATAGTATTATATAAATGCTTATCACTAACCATAAATTAAAAACAACGTCATAGTAATTTAAATATTTTCCTCTAGGATCAGTTGTGCACTTGTACTCGATTCTTCGTATTTGACTATCAATTAAGAGCGAAGCTATTATTCTAAGAGACAGTGCAGACCAAACCAAAATAATGCGTTAAGTAATGGTTTAAGTACAAAAGCTATAACTTCGAACTTCAAAACGATATTTGAATGACATCAAAGTACTTCGGGACACTAAAGCCATTCTACCGGTCCTGAGCCTTTGGAACTGATATTAGGTACTAGTATTAAAACTAGCACAACTTTGTGAAACCAAAATCTGCTATCTACTGCGCATATTACATTTTATTAAGATCACCGCACCATGATAGGGTTTTGAATTTTACGTTAAGGGCAAAAGTAATATTTAATATATTATTGCACTTTCACCAGCCAAAATATGATCAATTTTCATACAGAAACGGCGACTTACTTTATAAACAAAGCTAACATGACAACAGATTTTGCCTTAGCAACGACACTGGGCATATTGTTATTCAATTCAATCAATATGCTTACATATTCAAAGATCTTCTTTGAAGTATTTAAAACTTTCTTTCGGTGTTAAGTCGCGTGTGTATTTACAACCCTATTTGCTCCCCGGGAGTCACCAAGTAGGTATATAGACACTTCAAACAAAAGTATTAAAAGTTATAAGATTTCTAAAACTATTTGTAAAACCACATATTTATTACACCGGAATTGATACAATGAGGTGTTCTCAGTACATTATTTATTGTGATTTCATAAACTATCGTCTAGGATAGCTTCGATATCACTAAGTAAATCTCTATTTGAGCTGTCTAGTTTGTTTGTGTTGTTCCTACAACTGGCGACAACGTCCGGCACATTTTTCACTAGACCTAATTCCAATTCCGTTAATGTTACATCATTGTCGTCTAGGTCATCACTCAAGTCCACAATAGCGACCGGTTCACCCATATTAGCAGAGTCCACATCTATAATTTCAGTATCTAATATTTCACTTACATCTAAGTTTTTATCGTTAATGTCTACGTTAACTATTTGTACTTCTGTATCTGAATCATCGTCTGTCTTACTAGAAACGTTCGTATCATCTTTAGTTTCAATGTTATCTTTACACGAACTAGCAGTTCTAATTAGTTTAGGTTTGGAAATTTGTTCTGTTAATTTGATTCTTTTAAATTCGAAACAATTGTCGATCAATTCGTCATCCTGTATCTCATATAGATCACTTTGCTCCGATATAGTCCGTTTCCTATTAACACTGACATCTACATGCTTCTGGTCAGATTTAAACAGAGTGGCCGCCGCCGGTGCGTTTTGATCTAATTTTTTATAAACTACAGAATTACTCCTGACCATTTTTATTATTTTATTACCCGATGTTGTGATAGTCTCGTGCGTGGACAACTTTCTTTTGCGCAAATTGAGTGTAATCGGCGGCGGAGGTACTATAGTTTCGCTCTTCTTTCTTGCTCTTATCTCTTCTAATGAAAGAACTTTGAAATCTAGGGAGTGTCGTCGCTCAGTGGCCTGCTGTTGTTTTTTACCCGCGATCTCATCTAAAGACAGTCTGTCGTATTTCGTGGAGAGATTGGTTCTGATTATCTTCCGTTCTTTGTTCGGTTCCGGAGGCAGGTTATCGTAGCTGTAGAACGCGGCCGCTTCAGCCTGTATTTTCTCTAACAGCAGGAGCTCCTGCGACTTTGTACGAGCGATCCGCTGAGCGTCGTCCGTGGATACAGTTTTAGTGGGCGTGGACGACGGAGCGCTTTCATTGTCCGACTCTGCAAGAACACACCAAGTAACCGTTTAATGGATCGGTCGCATTAATAAAGTATCATCGATTTTCGTAATTAATTTTGATACGACCCGTCCGTCCGGTTGTGCTTGAGTGTGCTCTCGCCTAGTCTACCTGAAACGGGATGGGCGGTCAAAAATAATTACAAAAATCATAATTATGGAACATTTTATTTACTCGTTGGTATATTAAACACAATTTGATTAAACGACGCCAAATCACCCGTCACCGACACGCGTCCATTGCATCGGTACGAAGTTGATTGACTTATAAAAGTTCTTAAACACACGCAATACTAATTTATTTTTATATGTTTGAAATTCTTATACAACATAAGACTAAATATAACATAACAATAACCCCGTATTAACTGAAACAAACAACTGTTAGCCCTAACGCGATATGCGGACACATATTGTATAATGTTAGTCATATGAAAGCGTGCTATATACGTTGACGGCAAATCATATATAATGATACGGCACCCCGTAAGGATGCTTCTAACCAGTATCCAGCCTGTAGCGCACCGATTTTAAAACATTAAATCTACTTCACCTCCCACCGCTACAATGAGTCAGCATTCGCTAATCGATTTTGTAAATCACTAAAGTGTAAATATAAAAAAAAAAACAAAACACATAGAAATCAACGTGCGATTTTGATATCTTAACTGGTTTACAAAATGAGAACCTTAATTAGGTATTACTTTACTTTTTCTCCGAGCTAATATCGCTATAAACACAGTTTTGATTAAATTATTACATCATAAACATTGTTGTATTCGATAAAATGTTGCGTTATCAAAATCGCACCGAGATAACAAAATTAATTTGCGAATGAAGATAATAATTATTTTCTATAGTCTCTTCATCACAAATTTTGAGTAATCAAAAATGCAGTTGACGTAGTACATTTTTTTTTTAACCGTACACCTACCACAAGTCCTGACGTACACATTCTTGATCCCTTTCTTATATCACTACCCGATTGCTTAAATTCCGTGAAGTTTTTTTTTTTAACACAACCAACTGTCATATTCATCCACAAGTCCCCCGATACACAGTAAGTACATGTATAGTCTAATCCAAACTATTTGAAATGTTTCAGGCAAACTGTTGTGAATCTTTATAAATGGTTCACATACAAGTACTCCTCGATGGTCACAAAATATGAACCGAACCATAATGAGCCTACTTAAATGCTATATCGTTACCCTGTTTTTTGTTACAGAGAAAAAAGTGCATCGCACGGGCACTTGAAAAATTAATTTCTTACCATTTACAAAATATATTATTGGACCGACATCTACTCATTATTCGAGGACTTGCAGTAAGATGCAACCGTGTACCCAACTCTAGAACACAATTGGGCCATTATTTTCAACAGAAAACTTGAACATTCCTACAATTATTCTAAACATAAATAGTTTTTTTATCATAATAGTAATAAAACACAAAACTACATGGTTAATACTAAATATATAGAAGTATTGCTAAATACAGAGTGAAACCAATATTTTGAGTTATAAAAACAGTTGATATTTGAGCTGCTTCGAACAAAAACAACCATTGTTTGTACTAATTTACAATTTTATAAACCAATATGTAACCTCAGTTCTTTGTGATATTTTTTTATTACAAAAAGATGCAAAAAATATCTATACACAGACTTATTCGTACTTATTGCAAATATTATAAATGTCACATTCGTGTATACATATTTTCTGAGACGGCTGTAAATAAAGCAGCACGACAAGCTACAATAATTATTGCAAGAAAATTTTACCTTAACTATTAAGATGTTAACATCTGAAAATTTATTGAAGGAATTTAACATTATCTACAACCTGATGTGCTGTGACTGTACTGTACCAATATAATTTATCATCAAGCTAAATATTTCATTCCACATGAACAAGGCAAAAAATTTTGAATCTCTTTAGAAACTAATGAAACCCCTCCATAACTTACGCTACCCCCCACCTACAGAGAAATCGGTTTATTTTTTCATTTATATTCTTTAAATATTGTAAATTAATATATTATACACAAATAATGACTAGGCGTAACATGGACCATATTTAATACAAAACTTTAGCAAATGGTTCTCTTCGTGAGTGTACGCAAAAGTTTTTTTTTTTTTTGTTCTCCGTAATAAATATAGGAACTTTACTCTCAGTGCAAAGATATTGTAAAAAATGTATATGTTTGTCACCAATCATTGAAAAGAAAGAAACCATTTTTTAAATTTTTCTATCATTATTATTCTTTCACTGTTTGTACAACAGTTTTCCTCATATGTATATTATAAATCGTAAACCTGAAGCAAATAAACCAGGCCACCTGCTGATTCCATGATAGAAAATTGAAATTGAAATTGTTAATACGGGTGGCCCGGTTGAAAAACTGAGTTACATATATTATTTATATGTAACTTTTGAATTTCCTTCATCTTATGCCTGATGATTTCCAATTGACGCCAGTACTTTTCCTTTTTCAAAGACAAGGATGCCAGTGACTAACGAAAATAATAACACGTCATAATTTAGATTTAGAACGTTATCAGTGATTTTTGTGCATGGTCTAATAAAACCGTTAAGAAGTACACCCATATGCGTTTATATTTCGATTACCATAACAAACATATAAATTTAACAAAGATTGTATTAGGGTTGTCACCTTGTCTCTGTTGCTGCCACAATAGTGGCACGGGCGCGGGCGCGGGCGGAACAGGTTGCGGCACTTGCGGCACCGCCACGCCCTCTGTCACGACGCTCTCGCCGACGCCTACGCCGACGCCCACACCGCCCACTCCCACGCCGCCCGCGGGGGCAGCCTATCAACAACACAAACAAATCCCTTAGCCACTAAGGACAATGAACACCAACAACAAATTCAACAATTTAAAAATACTACCAAATTGCGGCATGCAAATTTGCGACTTGTGATGTTACGAATTTGCATTCGCATTCGTCAATATTCGCTTATATCAGAATATTCACATTCGCATTCGTAAAAATTTACACAAATTATAGAAAAATAGAATATTGATAATAATTTCCTATTAGTAGAAGAACATAATCTCAAAATCAGACTAAGTTCTAATGAAAACCAAAAAATATACTTGAAATCAAATAAATCGCGCCACCTCTATTTGCTACGTTCGATCATTATTTTTTTTTAATTAAGTTACTGAATTTCATACGGCCCGTAAACATTTGAAAAATACATTGGCGTAAAGTTTAAAAGTATTTATTAAACTTAAGAACGAAGTTTCTTTGATGTCACATTATGATTTTTAACTAAAGTAAGATTTTTAACTAAAGTTACTAAGAGTAATATAGGCAACGTGTAGGACTTTAGGTGGCAGCACTATAGTCTGCCGTGTTGTTCCATATTCATTCTATGAAATCTTATCGTACGCATTATTTTTTCCTCATTCATCATATTTATATTTCTTAATCAACTCGTAAAAAATTTACTTTATTTAAATTCCTTATTAATTTCATCAGTAATTTTAATTCATTATTTTTTAAGATCACCTAAAAATGCAAGAATTCTGTGTACGGCCTTAATAAAAATATTATCCTTTATTTTTTAATTCAAATTAATTCTGGGTCAATTGTTGTTCTATTGAAAAAAATACAATAAAAATCGGATAAAATTATATGCAACAAGTGATAAATTTTGCATTCACAAAGCTTCATTGAAAATTTTCTTTAAAACAATGTCTTTAAAATCGCGAACGTAATGGGAAAGAACAAATAGTTTCACAAACAATTAGTAGTAGTAGGTAATAATACTTTTTAAAATAAACATACAATTTAATTTATATTAGATAAAGTCTATTTGATAAATCTATTGTATAACTTTAATTTTCTGAAAATATATTAAATGTTGTTGTGCTATCCATTCTTTTTTTAGTAATATTTGCTTCAAGATGAGTTACGCGTTTAGGTTGAATTAAGAAAAATATTCAGAGGTTGAGTAAAGAATACAAAGTTTGGGGTGAGTGACGAAATGGGATGAAACGTCATAGGATGAATTTCTTCTTCTTCTTTTTTAATTCATGGCCTATTTGCGTTTACACAATTCCGCCAATATCACGTTTGTGGTATTTACACGTAAAGAAACAATAATAAAATATGTCAATTTTGAATTAAAATAAAATAAAAAAACTCTGAACGCGTTTTATCTGATTACATCGTTAAAGATAATACCAAGAGAATGTATATAGAAAACAATGATATTTATAAATTAAGACTATTATTGATTGCAAGAAATTTTGATAACATTTTGAATGGGCTGGGTTTCTCCATACTCAAGATACATTTTATATTTGTTGGACGTGGAACTTTTGACAGGAGCAAATAATACTCAAGATACATTTTATATTTGGTGGACGAGGAACTTTTTATGGGAGCAAATCATAAAGAGAAATGGTTAAATTAGGACAATTAAATAAAATATGATCCGTAGTTCCTTCCTCAATGCCACAATGTCTTTAATTTTAAATTTGCCAAGTCGAACTGGCGAACACACAACACATGTCCAATTCACAAACGACCAATAATTGAAATATTTTTTTTACTCTGTCATGGAGCTTTCAACTAAACAATCAAAATTTAGTGGTGTGTGTTGACGTGTCCAAAATGTACAGGGTAACAAATTTTGTTTGTGCTTGATTGGTATATCCATTATTGTAAATCACATGCTTTTTTGTACCTTGATTTTGGGGTAATTCGGTGCCCTCTTTATCAAAATATTTATCTTATTTATTTATTCACCGAAAAGTTACCAATTTATTCAATATCTGAGTATGGAATAAAATATTATAGGGTAAAAAATATTAAAAAACAAAAATTATTCTTTCTTTAACATAATTATCATCAATTCGACAATTATTATTGCTGATAATTAGCAGATAATTACCTAAACAGATTTTTTTTCCTGAACACCCTGGCACTGACAGACATTGAGCAACAATTGACTGTCTTTTCGTTGCAATTCGTTCACCACGCGACCGCGGTCTCAATGCTGATCAACTACAACAGCAGCTACGCGAGTCCGTGGAGTTATAATCAGTAGATGGATAGTAAGAAGAAAATTTAAAGAACTGGAACTTAACATTGCGTCGTACAATCTTGAAAACGTCTAAAATTCAATCTCGATTGGAGTCAGTGGCGGATTAAGGGCAAGCGGAGGGGGCGGTTCGCCCCGGACCTCCGATCCTAGTGGCATCCAAATGGCTGCATCCATGCGCCAAAATCATAATAATATAATAAAGTTATAAATGTATTGGTCCGCCACTGATTGGACCTTAATCGGGAATACGTTAAATGGACTTCACACGAATGGAGGTCGGTTAGAGAATTAACGGATTATCAAAGCATTATAGATTGCTATTGTGACACATTTTTAAAGGTTATAAGATAACCTTTCAGATGGTAAATATTTTAAAGTCATTTGTTCTGTAATAAAACAAAAATAGCCATGAACGTAAAAAAAAGGTATGTGGATCAATTTATTTGTTCGCAATTTTATAAAATGCAATCTAAAGAAACATATAGAAATAGGGATGACGCATGGGTAAAAAGAAAAAGAAATTCCGTTTAGTCCGTCAGTCAGATAATAGAAAAATATTCAACCATATTTTTGTTTTGTTTCCATTTAACAAGGAAGGAAAACTTGGGTGACATGTGTGGAGTTGTGCAGCGGGGGTTTCTGCCTCACAACTATGTAGAAATTGTACAAAGGTGTGACCGTCCTGATAAAAAAAATACTGTTTACTACCAAAACTTTTATCAGTCTACGCAAATTTTTAATGATAGATAATTATTTAATTGAATAATTAAAAATATAGTCTTACATCCAGTTGTATACGTTCATTATGTCGACTTTCTGCTATAATTAATGTTCTAAGTATCCGAAAATCTGTATCGGTAATGTCGTTTAAAACTAACAATGAATAATGACAAAACAATGGACGTTTGTGCAATTCGCTGACAAATAATTGGCGCCAAAAAACTGATTACTCGCATTTGCTCTCGCATTCGCATACGTTTTCGAGAATGTCGGTAGTAGATAATAAGATATTCGCAGTGTTAAAAAAATCACATTCGTGACATCACTACTACCGACAGAGAAAAACACACACCCACACACATTAAAAATCTTATAGTAATTGATCTAGTCTGCAAGGATCGCATATAATAAATCGCAAATAAAGATGACAATTTATTATCAGTCTTCTTTTAATGAACATAACATGCAAAATACACCAAATTAGGTTCCCGCCTCAGTGCCAATTCATCCTGACTAGCCACGCTTCGAAAATTAGCATGGGTGCATATCTGATGAGAGATGGTGGCGTCTCGTTGGTTGCGGAACGTCAGAACCGACAAATAATATTATATGACACTCGACCTTGCACACTCGACAAGGATTTCGGCGAACATTAACGCATACTTGTCTTATAACTTGGCAGATTGTTTATATGAAACTTTATGTCGGTTTGGGACGAACGATCAAAGTACATAGTGCTTTGTTTAGTCTGTAGAATATTGAATAACAATTGACCAAACCAAAATCATCACGTTACAGAGTTTTTGGACAAAAAAGATCGACAACTATACCATTGATTGATTCTATACATTCTTTTTTATCTTTTATAAAATACCTACTGTACTTGGGTAGGTCAATGACCGCTTTTTGTCAATATATTTTCAGTTTGTCCACTACATAAGACAATCATGATAATGTTAATAAACATTGATCATTTTATAAATTTTCAGTAAATAATTAACATTTTCAGTAAATAAAATATTCATTTTAATAATTAAATATATTTTTATAACAATTCACAGGAAAAATATTGCACACTAATATCAGCATAAGCAGTGGATCATGTGGTATTTTGTGGATCATAAAACATACTATGTGAGGTTAGCTTTGCAATTCAACTTCAGGGTGTAAGTATACATTATTTACCAAATGTACACTATTTTGTTTTCGTTTTATTTATTTAAACTAAAATTAAAATTATCTTCTCGGAACAACAAATCACTGTCTAATAATACTGTACTTGGGTAGGTTAACTTATTTGCCCGATTATTATTTTCACATTTATTATTTTGGAATGTTAAAGAGACTCTTTTTGGGTTAATAAATAAATCTTATAAAATTCCATATTAGGATAAGTAATATATATATAGGTATTTATAATATATAGGTGTTTCACTATGATCTTTCAAACTTGACCATACAGTTAAGTTTATGTAATAATTAAGTTACTAAAACATGTATTCTCTATTACATTTCAAATTGCTTAGAACAATAAAAAAAGCACTTCCATCTAAGGCACCACTCATCACACACATCCACAGGACTGGTGATAACACATTCACCAGTCCTGTGGATGTGTGTGATGAGTGGTGCCTTAGATGGGCTTTTTCTTTAAGATAAATATCATATTGTTATTGCAAAATTGATCAAATGTAATAAATCTTATTTGGATAACTCTATCCTGTGACACATTTGGATCAATTTCACTTGATTTATCAAGTTTGATGAAACAGGGGCACAACATCATTTGTGACATTTCCATAAAAGAAACTTCATCCCTTGGGAGACTGCAGACCCTAATAGAAGCATGTGCGACATGAGTTGACCATTGTTTTTAATGAATATCTGTAATCCAATCTCCGCTCTAGTTTTCACTGACCCAAATGAATATGATCATTTTAAATAAAAAGGAAGCACACCACCTTGTGCCTCGAGATAATTTGAATGCTTTAACAACTTCGCCAGCAGTAGAATTATTAAAACAGATAGAATATAATTGGTGTAAATATAAAAATTAAGTAAATGACATGATAAAGGAGGTACACTAACAAATAACTTCATTCATTGATAATTATGAACTGAACTATGCACAAATAATATATTAATCATTTAATAAATTCAGTTGTTATACAATAAATGCCTGCAAAATTATCAACCTCGCCAAAAACAGAGCAAAATGAGAGAATTGTCCACATAATTGATTTATTCAGCAAAGCTACTACCTGCCCTTGGTACTGATAAAAAGAACAATGTCAAGTGTCTGATCTTGAATCTGAGAAGAATTGAAACATTTTTCTATTCACAAGGGATTTTATGAATGCTACAATACACTACAGGAGCATAATGTAGATAAACACCATGATTTTTTTTTTAATCAAATAGCTTGCAACATATTCCGAAGCTATCCCTGAGCTAACAACACCTAGCCTAAACAGTAACAGTGACCCATGTAGTTGCCTGCACCATTAGGACTAGAACCACATTGTAACAACTTTTTAAAAATAAATTGTTTTTTAATTGAACTTCTTTGATTCTATTGTAAATTCTATTTCAGGTACTTAACAATAATTAAAGTAATAATTACTAAAACCATTATTTTGTTAATGTGAATTTGTGTTAAAATATAGATACTATTATGACATCATTAATTATGAATAACTTAATATATTTTAAATATAGTTAGATTAATACAGTGAAGTTATTAGTCAACACTTACTGGTGTCGGTGGAGCGGGCTGGCTAGGTGCGATGCCATCAGTGCGTGCATCAGGATTCTTATGCATGAACGGGCAATGCTTTTTGCGACAACCGCCTGGCTGATTCTCCCAGTAACATGGGATCTGTTTGCGGTTTTTCTGCAAATTGAAAGAACATGTTCTGTATTTGATACTGCAATGACATTTATTTCTATTTGAACATTTTACCCCCTGTATTTGAAAAACTTATTAAAAATATACTTATTGAGGTTTGAAATTTGTCTGAATGAATTATAATGCAAAAGGCATAACAAACTATGCATTACATATTTAATATGCCAAAAGTAATAATTACATAAGCTCATTCAACTATTTAGGTATAATGTATCTGGACTCTTATTTGAAAAACCAATAATAGAAATAAAATAGATTAACATATGGGTACAGACCCTAAGTTCCATGTGGCGTAATTTACAGCGTTTGTCTAGGCATTTGCCTTGTTGCCAGGCTGTACACATTGTCTCACATCCTAAAGCAGAAGGTTCATGGCGAAACACACAACTGTCTCCCTAGGAACAATAATTACATTTATTGCAATATGAGTTACAAAAACAGGTATACACAAAACATATCAACAACATATGTGGGTATTTTTATTTTTTTATGTCTTTAGTATAATCTAATAGAGTCAAATTTTGGTTTATGAAATTGTCTATAAATTTGCATTACAAACGATTATCTGAAAAATATATTGAAATGAGCTTACCTTGGTGCATGTGGAATAGTAATAAAAATAACAATCATTAAATTTCCGTGGGGACTCCATGGTCTTTTTTCCCGTCCAGGGCCTGCGAAGTAAGACGCCACTTAGCAACTAGACATTAACACCATTTCACACGTTGTACGAATTACATTATCGATTATCAGAAAAATTGCTCACAATCAAAAACGCACTAGTAAGACAATAAATAACACGTGTGCTATTTAATTATAACTACAAATCTAGGGATTTTCCTTTTTGACAAACTGCAAAGCATGTCGCGGGTATTTACTCATTTGAGTTTTATATTGAAATATATCGCTACATCAAACTATTTTAAATTTATTACTCACCGTTGTTTAGAATTCTTAAAAATAATCAAATTAAACAACAAATATTCTTCAACGTGATACTATGAAACACAAAATAATACGAATGTCACTAACAGAAAGAAGATGAAGTAGATATGGCGGACATGTGGCGGACTTTCATTTCATTCGTCCGACCACGAACCGCGCAGTTTACTCTATGCGCCGTCTTTTAGATTTATTTAATTACGACCATAGAGTAAACTAGGGACGTTCTTTATCAGCAAAAAAATTAAACTTTCGATTCGAACCTCCATTAATCGATATGCTACATACATATTGATTTCATACACATCGAATTGCAATTTTTTTTAATGATGTTTGTATTTTTTGCATTGTCCCATTGACGTTTTTTATAATAAATCATAAATATCAATATAGCGTCGTGAATGCAAAATCAATGGAATATCATTATTAATATTACCCCTTTCGGTATTTAAAGGTATTATGTACACAATTTGAAGAAAGTAAATACGTGCGTACACAAGTTTCGTATCAAAATTAAAATTAGTTATTCAGTCTAGGCTGTTACAAGCACCTGTGAAAGTCGAGAGCTACGCCATCGGTTCATAAATCTACGGCGGGAGACCTTGTACCGAGAGGATCTGGCAAGAAACTCGGCAAGGGCTGCTTTTTTCTCCTTGTTTTATTATATATAGATATAGATGAAAAATTAGCCATATTTAACACCAAGCAGTTTTGTCGTTTAAATATTCATTAACAGTATAATATCCTTTACTGAGTAGACAATTCTTAATATGGGTTTTAAACTTAGGCAATGGTAAATTTAAAATTTCCATAGGAATTTTGCCATTTAAAGTTTCACATTACGTAATTCTATACGCTCTCATGTATAGAATTCACAATATATTGATTAGGTGCAAACCCATCAATCAGCAGGAATACATCTCCGAATAATAAATATTTTATAGCTGTGGTTTAAAATTACCCTGCTTTAACTTATCAGTTAGATTTTGAGGTAGTTTATTAATAAATCGAGGAACTTAATTCATTAATTTAATTTTCCTTAATTTAATTCATTATACATTGAACATGTATTGGAAATACCTTGCGGTGTTTAAATAGAGCAATTTCATCAGTTGCGTGAATTTTCTTTTACATATATATTTTCATATGATAATTAGACAATATTTACATCTGCATCTGGCGAGTCTGCAGCTCGACGTAATAACAATCAGGTTCCAGAATATTTTATATGAAAGAACGAAAAAGCTAGTTTGAGCTACTTCCAAATCATATTTCTCGATGTGCCTCTTACAAAATGGTCTTGCCCCAACCAAATCCTGGAGCATTTTGGAATAGCTTTCGGTATTTGGCAACAAAATGTTGGAGCAACCTATTACAACATATCAAACGGGTTGTCTAGGTTTACTTTTAAGACAAAGCTATAAAACATATTACACAACCCAATTTAAAGGGCCCGATCAAAGGGTGAGCATATTCCCTAGTCAGTGCATCGTTTATCAGACTAAACAAATATGAATATAATATATGAAATATTTTCTATAATATTATAATTTTAAGTAATCAAACTCTATATTGTACTATATTTAATGAGCATTCTGATAACATATTAATCAAAATCAGATACTGAAGCATATTAAGAAAACTTTATAGACTTAGTTACCTTACACTTACTCATTATCGACTTAGCCCAGTCATGGCGTAACGTAAGGTACACATGTCTCAATACAGTATGGGAGATTGTTACACGATAATCTAAGGTTAAATGCCGATTGCCCAAGATAAGGTCATTTTCTCTTTAACTATTACTACCACCACCCTATGTAAGAGTCCCTGTAATTGGATACTGTAATACGTCTTTTAAAAATCATTTATATAAGCTTATCTAGCTTTCCGCCCGCGACTTCACCCGCGTGGTTCTGTATTAGACATATAAATATTCGACTTGAATCACTTTGATGAAGACTGCATTATAATTTCTTGTTTGAAGGTTCTCATCGTACAGACAACGGAAAGCGACTTTCTATATCCTATATATAGATAGATAAAAATGTAACTAGTGAAATTGTCAGATGTCGTAGCTTGCCGACTGAGTTCCTGACAATTGTTAATGTCTATTGTTTTATTAAGTTATATTTCACATTTCATTATTATATCACTAAATAGTGATAGCTCGTATATGTATCGTAATATCAATATGTTTATTATGTACTCACCTTGTAGAAGAAGAATGATTTACCTCTGATGTAGATGCTTGATTATTTCTTTCTCTCATTAAATTTTCAAATTCGTTACGAGTTACATGTCTATAAAAAAAAACGATATGGATTAATATATTTGATAAGAACCTAACAAGTTATTATTAAAGAGCTGATATAGTAACATATTAAAATTATTTATTTTCATTAAGAGCCCTATTACATCTCGACTGTGAATTTTTCATTTGGTGTTTTTCATCTCTGGAATATATTATACGAGTAATAGTAACTATCACTTATTGAATGGTTCCGAATATATATTGACATTGCTCATAGAAACCCGACCTTGTATATACTCGTACAAAGCCAACCAAAAATAAGAGTTCCGACAAATATCTTGAATGCGTTGTTAACCAGCAAGGAGATCATATCTTTGAAATAAAATGCCGTATAGAACAGGTACGAAATGCGTTCATAAGAATGAACAGTCTTTTGACGAACCGCTCCTTAAAGCTTGCCACGCGGGAAAGACCAGCTCGATATTACGTGTTCTCAATTCTAATGTGACATCGAGGTTTGGACCGTTACGGAAACCATGTATAAAAGTAAAGGCCTTTAAAATGTGAGAGGGAGAGACAAGGAGAGACAACAGGGAGAGAAATGAGTCGGTTCTTTAGAGACTTGTTCTGCAAAGTTCTGCTTATGCAGAACTTTGCAGAACAAGTCTCATCAAACAGCGGAAATTAGCATACCTTGGCCACATAATGCAAATAAAAAAGTACGCTCTCCTTCAACTACTAATACGCCGAAGACACCGAAAACCAGACAAGCGTAAAATCTCATGGCTCAAAAACTTTGCGTCAGTTGTATGGGCGCTTGTACACTACACTGACTTTTTAGGACCGGCGGTCCGTTTTTTTCCGGTCCGGAATGACATGAAAAACCCGGATACCCGGATACCCAGATACCCGGGAGTAGCTTGTGCACTTGTCCGTTTTTTCTTGATGGGAGCGGCGGAGTTAGCACAGCTCTCTTTGAAGCTATACGTCACTTATGCTAGGTACGATGAGATTTATCAGGCTAAACAAATATGAATATAATATATGAAATATTTTCTATAATATTATAATTTTAAGTATACAAACTCTATATTGTACTATATTTAATGAGCATTCTGATAACATATTAATCAAAATCAGATACTGAAGCATTTTAAAAAAACTTTATAGACTTAGTTACCTTACACTTACTCATTATCGACTTAACCCAGTCATGGCGTAACGTAAGGTACACATGTCTCAATACAGTATGGGAGATTGTTACACGATAATCTAAGGTTAAATGCCGATTGCCCAAGATAAGGTCATTTACTCTTTAATTATTACTACCACCACCATATGTAAGAGTACCTGTAATTGGATACTGTAATACGTCTTTTAAAAATCATTTATATAAGCTTATCTAGCTTTCCGCCCGCGACTTCACCCGCGTGGTTCTGTATTAGCAGAGATGTGACTTATCTTAGATACAAGTATTTGAAATACAGATACAAGATACAAAATACGTATTTTCATCTTGTATTTAGGAAGTATTTTGTATCTTGTATTTAAATACTTTTGTTTAGTATCTTAGTATCTTACTACATATTTACAAAAAGAAAGTGTTCAATTATCAACGCAATGAATATTTATTTAAAAATAACTCGAATCCAAACATTGTTTGGTGTCATTTAAAAGTAAATGCGTAGAACTGAACGTACGGTTATACCGGTGTAATACACCCTCCCTAGTAAAAATTGATAGATGGCGCATAGGACTTGAAATCGAATAACCAGTTACAAGCAATAAAAAATCTTGATTTATGTAAAAACCCGGTTATATGCTATAAATAAAACTCAGTAAGTATATCAATTAAACTCATTATAATTTTTTTTTTTGCACATTATACTTTTTCTACTAACAACAGCATTCAAAAAGTTTATTTTTAAAGAAATTTCAATGTGAAATTCGATACATGGCAAATGCTTGAAATGCCCGTTATTGGTTTACGAAAAGGTTGCTGTTTGGTGGTCTAACGCGGATGTATTTCATCACAGCTTCTTACCAAACAGGACCAGCATTACTGCAGATTTACTGTGTGTATTGTGAAGAACTGAACACAATGACGGAGAAGCTGGCACAACTCCAACCAGGTTTTGTCAATCGTTCGGTTCCACTGCTCCTGCACGACCACGTACGACCTCATACTACACAATTGGCGGTACCCAAGCTACAAGAGCTGGGGTTTGAAGTTCTCCGTCATCCACCGTACTTAACAGACCATGCGCCTACAGACTTCTAATTCTTCCAGAATTTGGATAACGTCTTAGAGGGAAAAAAATAAATTCCCGAGAGGCAGAACAAAATGCCTTTGAAGTATTTGTTGCCTCCCGTCCAGCTGATTTCTTCAAGAAGGCATCATTAAGCTACCAATGCGTTGGCAAAGATGTATTGATTGCATGGGTGATTATTTTGATTAATAGAAATAAGAAAATAAAGCTTCATTTATTTTATTAAAAACGGACATATCATATATAAAGACTTCATTAATACTTCAAATCCGGTTGAGACCGCATTACCAACAGTACCAGCAATACCAACTCTACGTCTTTTTAGGTATATCTACGTATTATAAGCCTTTCCTACAAACCAACGTACTATAATCAACCACAGAAGCTAAGTATTTTCTACTAAAAATTTTCAAATTAGTTTAACACACTAAAGGGGCATAATTTTCGGTAGTTCTGCAAAAAAAGTTAATATACGTTCCGTTACATACTATCGCACATTCACCTCGTCACAAGTCACGCCATTAATTTAAAAAACCAAGTACTGTATTTATTTTTACCCATTCTCTTCATCTCACTAGGAAAAAATGAATTTTCAGTTCTCCGTAATTTTACGTCGTACGTAAAACCAGCTTTTTAAATAAATAATAATTTTATAATTAAATTTAAATAATTATTCTTGTTGTTATATTTCAGCAATTTTTCATTCACAATGCTATATTGATAAAAAATATTATTAAAAAGGAACTAAAAAATTAAAAATAATTTAAACCTGATGTATTAAATATTTGTATTTTTATATGTTACATTGTGATTGACAAACACATAAAACGGAGGAAAAGTAGGTGAAATTTAGCTTGTAAGATTTGAGTACAAACACAGAAAACTAAATAAAAGCTTACAAAAATTGTTTCTAATGAAAAATGCTTAAAAAATCCACTTTGTCCCTGGAACCATCTGGTCTAAGATTTAGGTTTTTGTGGTCTTTAATAAACAAACTTAAATTCAAATCTTTTTTTAGAAAAGTATTTGTATTTATAAAAAGTATCTATAAGATACCTATTTTGTATCTAGTATTTCAAATACTTTTCTCGAAAGTATTTTGTATCTGGTATCTGAAATACTTAATTTAAAAGTATGAAAATGTAACTAGTGAAATTGTCAGATGTCGTAGCTTGCCGACTGAGTTCCTGACAACGTTTCTACACGTCACTTATGCTAGGTACGATGAGATTTTTGGAACGTCGATAATTGCTTGCTTTGTTACTCTACGTGCGAAGACGTAGAAGACAGTAAAAATATTAAAAGGTACCTAAATAATGACCTGACAGGGTCATTTTACATAAACCATAATAAATTGAGGCAAAACGTAAAAGTTATACCCTTACTAATTTGGGAACAGCGTATTCACATACAATAGCTAAAAAATATCTGTGACATTAGAATAAAAATTTTATGCTATTTGAATCAACTTCAAGCGATTGCAGAGATAGACCAATCGTTGGCGCCATTTCGTAAACAAATCTAAGTTATTGCCATGTAAGCGGAGAATTAATATGCTAAATGTGTGTGTACGATGGCATTTAAATCAGCCATCCTATTTTAAATATAATAGGATGTGGTATAGTTTCTTTGAGCAGAATTCTTTTTCTTTTAGAATACTTCTGTTATATCAAGTTATATCAAATATTTATTTATACTTATCAATTGTCTAAAAACTAATTTTGAAAATAACAAATTTCCAAGCAAACAAGAAAAATAGGTGGAAATAGCCACCTATTTTTCGTGATAAAAAGTAGCCTATGTCCTTTCTTAAGGTTCAGTCTATTTCTATATTAATTTCCTAATGGAAATTATATTAATATATAGGTTCAGTTGTTTAGGCGTTTAAGCGTAACAACACTTAATTGTCTTACCTTAAGTTATAGATCATTTTAATAATATTCTAGGTACCTAAATCAAGCAAAGTACCGATACTAGGACCATACGACGATTAAATTAGAAGTATATCGAGTTTGCCAAAGCATATGTAGTGATATTTACCAACTATATTAAATCATCATATAAAATATCGTATTTTATAATCTACAGTAAAAATCGAAATTTATATCGAATCGTATATCGAAAATTCACAATATCGCCGAAATAAATATCGATTTTTTATAAATCCATTATTTTTTCCTAAACTTACTCCGTAGGCTAATGAATTTTCCGGATCGCGGACACAGCAGTGCACAAGCGTAAACACGTTTTTCATTGTCGCCATCATGAATCTGAAAAAACCGGTCCGGAATAGAGAAAAGTAAAATTCCGGACGGTAAAGTTTCTGACAGTGCACAGGCTAGTATTATCTACATATGGCCTGACATATCGGACCGGAAAAAATTGGACCGCCGCACCTCAAAATTCGGTGTAGTGCACAAGCGTCCTATGGTTTGAGTACACTAATAAAGTGAGGGTTGCTCAGATGTTCTCCCATCTCTGGCAAGGGTCGGAACTGTAAGAAGAATAGGCAATATAGTATAGATAGATCGTAGAGGCTTTGCTTGTTGAGAATGCATTTCAATTCATTTTACCAAAAACATTGCGTAACAGTTTACTAAATAAACTGTTTGTCTTTCGCATGTTTAACTGATACGTTTCATTTCTTTATACATTTTAATACAAATAAACGCCAATTCAAATATTTATCGTAAAATAATCATCAAAAATAATTATAAGTACACTGATAACAATTCTTGTATGGAGGTAGGCAGATAGGAAAGTAGCGCGACTCCTGATGGTGAATTACTACATAAGAGACCTCTCGCGTTGTCGCGGTGAGTGTACCATGAAGTAATTTATTTTTAAAATCACAAGTCCCATAAATAAATTTCAATTCTATTTCGTTGTTTTATAATATTTAACGTTTTTCATTGAACATCAATGAGGAAGTATTTGAAAAAAACATTAGTTCCCGAAATCAAACTTTCCAGTTCCGGTTTTCTCTCAAGTTTAAAAGTAAATTAATTTTCAAAACTCAATAAACAACTTATATTCTATTTGTACTTTTTCGTATTTGTATTGATATTTAAGTTTCGAATTTTGCAAATTTCAGTTTTTTAATATGTTAAAGGGAACGTAAACAATTGTCTTTGGTCCATTCGTTTCCTGCAAAAATCAACTTTTGGTAGTCGCCATCTAGTGAGCTGCCTTTTAGTGCCTTCTTTTTTCTTAAAGTACTATGTTATTAGTTCCACTCGGATCCATGCGGATTGGTGGTGTTAAAGTAAATATATTCTCAATAATAAGTATATCAGTTCCATGTACCATGTAGTACGAATGCCTCATAATACATTTGCATACTGCAAATCAGATTAGAAATTTTACCTATCATATTAACAAATGGAGATTAAGATTGGATACTTCATTATCTTTTTTTTGCTAACAATAGAAAACTTAAAATATTTCAATGTTGAATGAATAAACACCTTTTATTGCAATATAAATAAAAAAAATTAAATCAAAATAATAATGTTGGTAGGGTAAAATGCCCGATAGTCAGCCGTGCACCAGTACTCAGCCTTTACAGACTTTTTTGTGTTACAAATAGTGTTGAAATTCGTGTACACTACTAAAATACCGTTTTTATGAATCCTAGTCTCGTAATTGGCTAATACGCACACATACAAACCAATATTCTATCAAGGAGACGAACTATGCTCATTCATTTGCACCGCCGCCGCTGACATGTCAAGACGCGCCATTGTTGCTGTTTTTTTTCTTCAGGACACCCGACGAAGTTTTCGGTAAGTTTTTGGGTTTATATATTGTTATTGCGGTGGATGATTTTATTTTGTTACGATAGAATGTTTATTTTGTTATTAAATCAACTATTACATGCATTTTATTGGTTTAATGTGTTTTTATTTAGGTGGCCGACTACTGGATTGCGAATTTTGATTGCAGGTCCAGTACTCAGCCACAAGTGGCTGACTACTAGTTTTCGTGGGAATATCTTAGATTTAGCTAAAATTAACTGAGCAAACCAATTACAATTTGCTCATTCGTTTGAGCTTAACTTTTCTTAGACGAAAATCGTATTTTACCAGTAGTCAGCCACGTACAAATGTAATTGCATGTTAGTGGCCGAACAATGGATCTACGAATCCAGTAACCAGCCGTCAATTCTGTTTGCACTAAAAGCCTTTGTAATCAAAGTTCAATTTACCTAAGCAGAGTTATTTTGATTGAAAATCACTTGTTTTAGATTTTCATCATGTCTAAGAGACCAATTCACCAATATAAAGAAGAACAATTAACAGAGGCTATGGCGGCGATAAGAAAAGGAATGGCAATTAGAGCAGCCAGTCGAGTTTTTAAGGTTCCGCGAGGGACGTTACAGGATCGACTACATTTAAGGGTTCCAGACTTGCCCCGTAAAATGGGACCAGATTCAGTGCTGACCAAAACTGAAGAAACTACATTGAAAGACTGGTGTATAGCATTAGCGAAATGTGGCTTTCCATTAAAACGTGATGATCTCCTCAATACCGTCCATAATATTATATCTGAAGATAAAAGACCAAACCCATTTGTAAATAATAAACCAGGGAAGAAATGGTACCAATCATTTCTGAGACGAAATCCCGAGTTAAGTGAGAGGACACCTGAAAATATATCTAAGGGTCGAGCCGCTGTAACTGAAGAAGGTATTCGCAAGTGGTTTGCTGAACTTATGAAGCATTTAGAAGACATAAATGCAAGTGATATTTTGACTGATCCTGACCGAATATTTAACGGTGATGAAACTAGTTTTTATATTTGCCCCAAGACTGGAAAAGTCATTGCACCAAGAGGATATAAAAATGTCTACCAAATTGTAAAAGGCAAGGAAAAAGAAGCTATTACTGTCCTTATATTTATAGCAGCTTCCGGGAAAATTTTACCTCCTTGTGTAGTTTTTCCGTACGTACGACCACCTAAAGATGTTATAAACAGTATGCCTGATAGATGGTTATTGGGAAAGTCAGAAACAGGTTGGATGAAATCAGAAATTTTTTACGATTACATTGTTAAAGGTCTGAACGAATGGTTGATACAAGAAAAAATAAAAAAACCTGTTCTCATTTTTGTTGATGGCCACAAGAGTCACTTAACAATGCGTCTCAGCGAATATTGTCACGAAAACGGTATTATTCTTTATGCACTTCCACCAAATGCGACACATTTGATTCAGCCAGCTGATGTTAGCGTATTTAAACCTTTAAAGGTAGAATGGAAAAATACCGTGTACGAATGGGCAACTCAACCTGAAAATGTCAATAATGTTTTGAGCAAAGCAACATTTTGTCCATTACTTAAAAAGGTGTTAGAGAAAGAAAATTTGTCTAGGACAATCATCAATGGATTTCGCAAATGTGGGTTATACCCATGCAATCCAAACGCTTTGGACTACTCAAAATGTGTGCAGAACAATCTTGAGAAACATCATAACTCTTCCAGTAAGTCGAAATCGCCAGGTGCCAAAATTAAGAATAGGCATTTGAATACCGCCATCAAGTGTATTAATCATTTAAGTAAAGAGCTGGAAAATGCTGGAGTAGACACAAGAACTGTTATCAGTGTACTGAGTGCGGCAATCAATATGACTGGATCTGAAAGTTTAAATTCGACAAAGAACTCAACGATAGATTCGAAAATTGATAACATTTCTGCCTGTGGTATTGATAAAAACCAAACAAAAATAGCATCAGGATCAAATGAAATTATGGACATAAGTTTGCCAATTATAGGTGATTATACATTGGAAAATAATTTAGATACTTTTACAGAAGAAGTATTCTCGAATGACTTCGAAATCATAACTGATGTTGCAGTACTTCACCAAAATAGTGAAATTCAAGATCAAACACGAATATTTGTTGCAAATGATCAAAACGGTAACTGCCTTAAAGAATGGCCCACTAATCAGACACCGATATATATCTCTGAAAAATATATCGAAAAGGAAAACATTAAAATAAGAATAAGTAATAATCATGGTAAAGAAAATAAAGACATTGGACAAGAAATACATACTTCCTATGACATAGAAAATACAAGAGACGCATTGCTACCAGAAAATAATAATTATATAATGGATAATGTGAAAGGCATAATGACAGATTGTAACATTGATCCAATCAAAAATAACACTGAAGAAGACGAGCAAAAAAATATAAAATCGGTAAAAAGCAAAATAAATATATTGTCCGATGTGATTGTGAAAGCGGAAGATGTCTCGCCCATTTTTAATAAATATTTGACTTTGCCTGCTGTAACTAGAACAAAAAATAAGATAAAATCAATCAATAGGATTGGAGCTATTTCTTGCAAAGAGTGGAGACAATTTGAAAGAAAAAAAGAAGAGTTGAAGAATCAAAAAAAAAATGAAATAATAAGTAAGAAACTGAAGAGACTTGAAATTAAGGCAAGGAAAGAAGAAGAGAAACAAAAAAAGAAAGAAGAGAAACAAAAAAGAAAAGCGGAAATGCTGTTGAATTCTAACAAAAGTAAAAAGAAAAAGAACAATAGGGCATGCACTATAAATAGAATAAGATGTAATAATTGTGAAGATGAAATGACCAGCGATACCGAAATCAACGATTTGAAAAATATTGGATGTGATAACTGCCCTGCATGGTACCATCTAAAATGCACTGAATTCGCCGGGGATATGTATGAAAATATATATAATAAGAAATTTCTATGCCAAATGTGCAAAGTTAGTGAGAGGCTGACTTTAGGGTAAGCCATATGGCTGACTTGTGGAGAAATGAGGCTGACTACTGGAAAAAAGTGCCATATTATGATTATTGTTGATTTTTTCTATAATTCTAACAAAAGTATAATATTTTGTTATTTTTTTCAGTAAATTTAATAAATAATTTTTCACAAAAGATTGATTGTTTTTAAGTATAGTGTTTCATGTTTCAAATATCAATAAACTAAATTTCGTTCGTCACTAAAAGGCTGACTATTGGGTATTTTACCCTATAATTAAAAAGAAAATTAGCATAATTTTGGCATCTTTATCACCATTTTGGCATATTTCGCTTTAGACGAATCGGCAACATTGCAATGCACATTGGTAGAGATGCAAGTTCGATATATATAGGTTACATTCACAGAAATAAATCTAGTTAGAAGGAAAATGTTCGGAGACCGAGCGTAGGTATCATGACGTCACGATCTTAATTTAGTGATGGAAGACATAATTTCACTTGCATCGAATACATGTTGTATTTGAAACGGCTTACTAATTCTTATCGATTGAAAAACGATATCGATCGACGGAGACCAACGTGTACAGTCTGTCTATAAAGTCATGAAAAGAATGTTTGAGGAACTAACATTAGACACAAGTATGACAACACTGAATCAAAGTACATCGACTGTCAACAACTTGATTTTTTAGCTCGATTTTCTGCATTTTTGATTTGTTTTGATTAAACTGAAGCTACTTCTTCTAAACTCCGTCGAAAAGTGTTAAAAATGAAGAGAATCGAGTGAAGCTCAGGATATTATTTATAAAGTTTTTCAGTGATGTTTATTGGAACAAGAAGCTGGACACATTTTATCATATTTGTAGGATGTTAAAGCTCAAAGTTTCAAATTTACTAAATATATGAATTTAAGTCTAAAAGAAGTATTGATTACATTATGCATTTATAGGTTAGATTGAAAATGTTAGAAGGCTATATTGTAGTGCGGCCCGAACTTTCAATACTTTTGGATAATCAAATTTATCATTGATTTTAATCTGAATAAAAAATATACCTGTTAGGAATGTACGATTTTTACCTACGTACGCCAATAAAAAGTTTGTGCTTTATATTACTAAAATTATAGCATTAATTTGATCATTGTGGCGATTCCATTCTTTTTGCCAAATACCTATAGGTATTACATTTTTAAAACTTACTTTCAGGAAAATCAGAGAATATAGTGTAGTATGAAGGATAAAAATGGTGGCATATTTGAAACCCCTGGGAAACATAGATAGTCGTCCTAAGAAATAAATGGTTAACTGCAACATTTGTGCACTTCGACAAAAGATTCAGTTCTTTTACTCCGTGAAAAAAAGAGGTACCTACATGAAGAAAACATCAGTGGATTGCCAAAACCGATCTGGATTTTAATTGTAGCCTAGAAGTCCTGCGTTAAATTCTGAAATAGATTGGATTTTCTTACAAGGAGTGTCAAAGTAACATGCTTAAATCGAACAGAAGCACACATTACAGTAAAACGAGAAAACAACTTGGCAATTATAAAAAAAAAGGATTTATCAAAAATTACGATTACTATATTGTAATCTTCAATGTAGAATAAACTCATTGTCTACGAATTATACGCCTTTCTTTACCTTTTCTGGGGTAATAAAAGTAAAAAATATATATTTTACTATAAATAAAGAAAATCCTACTATCAAAATCATTTGTCTCGCTACACAGGGTTGCTACGTGCACGATCGCAGCCCCCTTAATTTTTTTCATGACTTTATAGACAGACTGTACCATTTTGCTTAAATATTATGTATATGTCACGAACTCACGAATGTAATTTAGTGAATCGGCGCAAAAAATATTTTATGCGATAGAATAGAAATCGGCATTTTTCTGTGGACAAACACTTTGTAGTAGCCGCTACCCCCTCCCAACACACAACACATTTTTACGTCCTGTGATGTTATGTTATGTTTCACGGCGTGCTTTTCCGCAACTCGATACTCAGTGCCTATTTTGCATGACACGGGGTTGCTTTAGTCCTGCCACCCCAGCTGCTCCAGGAAGCCCGTAAAATCTCGAATTCTGCCGCATGCTTCCACTAGTATCCTTGGGCAGCCTAGATATGTAGTCCTTTGTCTTAATAGGCTCCTGCATTCCAGTATTACATGAGCGCACAAGTGCACAGAGGACTGTCAGAATAACCCATGTTATATAGGTGTTTCTTAAAGTTTCCATGTCCAGTAAGTATACCTACTATTTGCCTTAGAGTCCTGTTGCTTCAATCCATTTATTTTTAATATGAGGATCATACGGAAAACTAAAACAAAAATTACAGTATAATTTAATATAAAATTAATTATCATTTCTTCTGCTTTCACAAACGATATTTTTTTAATCGGGTAAAAAAATCGCATTGTACAGCACTATTCTCCATTTTTGACAGAAAATATGATAATTTGTCCTCCAACAAATTGACCTTGAATTATACATCGATGGTTTTACAAGTACAGCAAATTTGGACTGTCAAATTAAAGCCGCAATGGAAAGCTATTACTGGACACATGATCGTTTTGATAAAAATAATACGGAGCAACAAAACTAATGATTTTTAATTCAAAATAGATATATCAAGGCAAATAGTTACTTACCGATGGAAGGAAATACATCGATTATAAGATCCAACCATATTGGTGGTGTTTGAGCAGGTAATTATCGAACCACGCCTCATTTTAAATTTCGTCCCAACACCGATTGCGATCGAAAGTGGACTGAGCCTCGCGGCGAGCAATGGAGTTGTCCAGACGTCGTTTCGGCACGCGAAGTACGTACACTTTTTCCTTCTAACTAGATATATTTCTGTGGTTACATTCGATATCGCTGCACAAAGTCGATATTTATCTATATATTTTTTTATCTTAATTTAATTTAAAAAATTTGTTTGTAAAAACCATATGTAAATAAAATACTTTAATCTTAATTAAGTTAGTGTAAGTTTAATCTTAAATGCTTTTAAAAAATCAGCCAGTAATTGATGTAATTTTGGGTCCTGTGCGCAAATCATGCTCTTGGTCACTTGGTCATCAATAGGATAATGGCAACTTTAAGTAGATTGCGTCAAGATTAGCAATAACAATTGTCACGTATAGCGTGGCACTAATAACAAAATTATTTTAAAACCTTATATATAATTAAATTATTAAATACATAAATAAAGACATATAAAAATGAATCTACATATCAATAGTTAATAACTTAAATATACAAAAACAAAACGTAATAAAAAAAACTAGCAAATTCAAAACGCACTCTAATAAAAAAAAATAAGAACATGAAATCTAGTTGGCCGCGCTTCGAGCTCCCGCCGAAACCGCGCGACTTTTAAAAAAGGAACGACATCGCATTCTTGTCAGCTAGCGTCTGCTTACTTAAAACCACTTGGTTGATTGTACAAAACTGAAAAATTGTTTAATAAGCTATACATTAAAGTTATAATTAAATGTTTTTGAAATTAATACTTTACTACTATAAATTAACTACGCATTTAGTTAATCCCCGTAATCGGGTAAGTTGTTTAAATTTTGTAAATAATGTATTGTGTTCTTAGTAAGACATAGTTAATATTGTAAATAAATTTATGTTGCCGTACACCTTGACTGCCTCATATTGATAACTATATAATCCTACGCAATAGCACGTTATCCCTCAACTACAAATCTGATGGCGCAGTCAAGGTGATAACTGATCGCCATGCTCACACCGGCTCTACTCGAATTTCTAGGGAGCAAGTTCTGGACTTAAAGTAGAACGAAGAATCTCACTCTGCCTTCCCATCCTGCTGCTGCTGCCTTGCTATCTCTGTTTTTCCCTTCCACATCCTGCACACACCTCGACCAGCATCAAGGACGGTATCGTGCCACACTCTCTATACTATTAGTTGATGACTGATACAGAAAAAGAACCCTACCTTAACGACCCTGAGATTAAATTGAACGTACCTAAAATTTGTGTTATATAATTCTGTTTTCCTTTTATATTGCATATAATTAGTTTTATTGTATTTTTTTTGTACATATAAATATATAGTTCACTAAATTCTGCAAGTTTCATTGCTTATATAGATAACAACGTAGCACACTTTATTTGGATATTGAGTACAAATTGTAATAATAAAAAATTACTACAATTTCCACTGGAAAAAAGTAACAATATAATGTTACACGTTTCTAATGAAATTCACATGTAAGGATGACTTTGGATGGTACAATTTGGACAAGTGATACTCATCTACCTTAGGATTACTTTGGATATTAGGTTACGATATATTGGTTTTTTTGAAGAACCAATATATCAAAGAATCAGCGATATCGATATTTTTTAGGCATCTATGTGTATCGATTATTCGATATGTCGTTGTATCACATCTATCGACTGAATCGAAAATAGTGCTACTGAGCATTCGATTGTCGATTAAGTAGTACCCCGCCATGATTATTCGAATAACAATCATCCCAATTACTAACTACTAACTGTACGCACACTATGTGATTATTCCACGAATGTCAATTTAAACTGGATTGTGCAGTGTTTCATTAAAAACGGGCAGAGTGAGAGAGTAAATTAGTAACTCTTCATCTCTGTCTTAGTAGTTTTGTAGGATGTCCACGCGTTTTTAATAATTTCATAAATAGGTAATATTTAATAATGTTTACATGACCAAATTTAAACATTTACAGATATAATTTTATAAATTTTTACAGATATTATGAATGATTATGTTAGAAATTTAACCGATAAATTAGTTTTTATTTATCGGTAAAGATATTTATTTTGTAGGAAATAAAACAAGTACATAAATGTTATTATAATCATCTATAATATATAAATCAATTAAAAGGATAGAAATGTTTTTTTTTTCCTATTAATTGTATTAGAATACAACGGATCACTTTGCCTGGTATTATTGTCCTCCATTTTTCAGCTAGACTTTTATCCTTTGGGATCCTAGAAACATAAGAGCAATTTT